ATCTTTCTTCTTATTTTATTCCTACTACCCCTCCTCCTTCTTCCCTTCTTCTTTTCTTTTTAAAGGCTTCTGACCTTTTCAACCTTGAATTCATATTGACTTTAGAGGCAATTGCACTGGAACATTAATTCTTGAATACTATCAATACTGAATCTACTACATTGTTACGTTATAATATAACATATTATTTGAATGAACATCTCGCAGAGTGTGCTTCTGCCGAAACTAGATTTGCTCCGCTAGTTCAACTGATATTGCAATAGCTGATGTGGGTTAGGAGATGTTTTAGCTTCCGATAGGTTTTCCTTTCAGTTTTGCTTGGTTAAGAAGTTGTTGTAGAAAAAATCATCAATTAAAATCAGCTGAATCTGATGGTAGTTCAATTTAAGGGTCACAGGGATTTTGAGGGATTGGTGTTTATAGCTCAAAGAAAAAAACAACTTTTGTGAATCAAGTTAAACAGATTGTTAATGTTGGGCCGTGCACAAACAAATTAGAAGACAAGATTTACATACAGTACATTACAGAAATCAATATAAAGTTTAGAGCACAGAATAGTTGAATATATTCATCTTTTTATTTAAAAAATGCTCTTAGTAACTTACAACAAAAGCTATACAAACTATCTTTTATAGTTATGTATTTTCATTAATATAAGTACAGGCCTCATTGGGTGTGTTTTTCATTAACTGATGTATATTGTGTGATTTTCAATATTTTTAAAGTATATTCCAGGTTGTAGCATGCTTGAAAAAGACAAAGAAAGGGATCCTAAATATAGTTAAATAAATTGTCAAATTATAAACCCTTTAAAATATTTTGCAATATATGGATATTATCATAAATTTATTTTTCATGTATAAAAAATCGTCCATTTCGTTCTCAATTGGTGTAGAAGTAATAATTGAGATAAGAAACCAATTACACTGCTGTTTTCCTGTATTGTAAAGGCTAATGTGAAAGCAAAACTCAAAACAAAAAGATTATCTTCATCCTGATCGTTCTCTTACCAAGGGTTGTTAAGAGTTTTAATCGTGTCTTATCCGGGGAAATGCTTTGTTTGAATCTCAAGTAGTCTATTATTTATCATCGTTTATCAAAGTTAAGAAGTAATAGCTTATTTTCAACGTAAAATTTTAAAATTAGCTTATAAAATACGCATCTGTGGCTTATCGTTTAACTAATTAACTTTGGTCCTTGGCAACAAACATTGCCTTTACACTGTAGGTATATACTTCATATTCTATTGTGAAATCTGAAGAGTGTTTAATATTTCAAAAGTCTGATATCCAGTCCCCAGTCGTTGATTTTAACTACAGATTTTTATTTATTATAGGAACAGATTTTAGTGTTTGAACTTCACTTTTTGCTACTCATCCCTTAAGTTTTTGTTATCGCTCGGATCATAATAATTAAAAGCGCATAATAATGCTGCAATATACTAAATTATTCGTTTTTAAGCTTTACAAAATGGTTTGGAAAGAAATTGCAAACTTTATGTATTCAAGGTAAAGAAGGGAAAACCAAATGTTTAGCCCATAAAAACCCCGTTCCTTTAGTCCGATCCTGCTGGTTAGGGATACGCTTATCCCAAATTTTATCGAAATCGGGTCATTTTTCTCGAGTTATCATGCCAATGGATACAAACATATATTCCCCCTAACCCTATAAGATTATTATTAGTTTTATAAGTCTCCAAACAAACCATAATTCATTAAAAAAATATATAAGTTGTTTTCCCATTTTACTATGTATAAAATATAGTATAGCACGTTATGATTTCATTAACATAATATTTTGCCATTTGAATTGACCTGTAATAAAAAAATTAAATTACGAGATTCAATCAGTTTCGACTACTTAGGATCTAGTTTTAAAAAGTAAGGAGTTTCCCACCAATCAGAGTTATGAATTACAGTATCAAGAAATATTAAATTAATCGTGAGTTATTTTTGCAGAATTATTCAGAGTGAAAGATTATATATGTTTTTAGCAAGAAAATCAAACCTACAGCAAGGGAATGAATATATCTGTAAATTCACTGTTTTATCTAATACTATTTTCCAACCAAACTTTTTATTCACTCTTAAAAATCAATGTACTTCCTAAACAAATTTAATTTTTGCAATCCTGCGTATAATTTACAGTCAACTTGTTTGGTACCTAAAACTTGATTTCAAGTATTACCTACGATTTTACTTTTCCATGATGAAAATGTAGTTAATCAATTTGATAAACATGTTCCTGGAAAATCTCTCTTCTCCAGGGCCCTTCTGGTATCAATGTTTGATGTGAAAGTGATAATATTTTCTTTATGAGTTAACACGTTCCCGAATAATTGGTTCGCTGTACAGTATAATGAAGTAGACAAGCGGGGAATATGGGCCTTTGTCGGGTGAAGGGGGGGGGGGGTATGACAACCTGCATCACCCTTTGTCGACAACCTTATCAGTTATCTCTCTCTCACTCCATCTACTGTAACACACCCAAACACGAGCAATTATTTCATCAAACGAATAGTTCGATGTTGTGCTAGCACGTCGTACAGTAGATTTTAATTTTTCAAACAAAACTTTTTACTTATTATCGTCCTTTGTCGACAACCTTATCGTTATCACTACAGCAAACAACAATCCAACGAAACGTCTAAACAATCCACACAAACACAACTATACACTTACAATCATTTTATCAAAAATATATATATTTTTAATCTATATGTTTTATATAGCCTATATTGGAAAAAAATATATATTTTCTGATCTCCATATTAATTAATGACAAAAAGAGAGTTGTCAAAGCCCCTTTTCTTTAGTTTGCTGATAATGATGTTCTCAGCTAAGTTTTGTTCCAAGTCCAAAGATAATATTATGTTAATTCCACCAAGAATAAGTTTATAAATTTTAGCATAAAACAAAATTCTCTGGATACTGAATATTTCCTACATGGCAGTCTGGTCTGGACGTCTAACCAACAGAGGCCATGGTGTTTTGTTGACTTGTCATTTAAGTTATGACCATACACATTCACCACATCTGCACCAAGGCCTCAGGCATGCTCGAAATGATCTCCTGCTCTGCAAGACACTGTTTAAGCATTGAGCATGCATGCCTGCTCGATCCAGTGTAGGCTAAGTCCTTTGTGCGCCTACCTAAAGTACTATAAAGTCAGTGGTACTACGGTGTAGTCTGGTCGCCTAACTAACCAGCTGAGCTTTATTAACTACTGTACCTTCATTTTGTCAACACGCGGGAAGAATGAGTGTGCACCTAGTCTCTCTCCCACTAAGTCTACTTCAATACACCCAAACACTCACAATTATTTCATCAAAAGTAAAAAATGTACGTGTTCCTAACATTTTTACTTCCGACATTGTTGTCCAAAGTTGTAATTTTGCTATCACAAATATATAAAGGATTTACCTCCTACTAAATCAATCTTATAAGCTAGAAATGTCAAAGTGATTTTTTACCCAAATATTAATATTTGTGAGGTAATTTTTGTAACTTCGTTACTTGGTTGGTAGTGCAGCCAGGGACATCAAGAAATAGTTATTTGTGTTGGTTTTCCCCCGTTTAGTGCAGCTGTATTAATTAGCAAGGAGTAGAAAACATATAGGGTACGGTGACAGTTTAATTGAACTATTTTATTATCATAAAAAAATTGATTTTATACTTTAATTAGTGAAAAGTGTTTGTATGGCACTTTTTCCTCATTAAGTTTACCCATTATTTACCTTTTAAAATAGTTAAATTATAATTACAACTTCTCCTCCAGCGACTCTTGACGCAAAATTAGTTAAGACGTTAATTACTACTGCACTATTTAATTTTTTTTGTATAATTGTCGTTTTTACATTTTAAATTGGATATACAAAGATTTTTTGAAACACAGAGTTTAAGTAAAGCACGGTTCTCTATGACTTCAAACCCAATAAGCAATTTATAATATACTACTATGGGGTGTGTCCCATAGTACTACCCCCTAGTTATTTTTTAAAAAAGTGTGTAACATCACCCTGGTCATGCACGTATACTGAAGGTTATTTGAAAATGTACAGCCATTAAAAAAAATAAAAGTGATGGAATGTAAAGTTCCAGTTTAATCAACGTCTAACCTTTCCTTCCATAACTTTTTGAATATCTGTATATCAAAGTCAGATTTGCGACATTAATTTCCCTTTTTAAAGCCCTTTAAAATAATGGGCTACTTGATAGAGGGTGCCATTTAAAAAAAATAATTTATCCCCAGCAAAATCATAGATTTGTATGCAACCCCTACCCCATAAAGGCCCCCAATGGTGGGGGTGAATTTCAAAATGCCACCAAAAAGTACTTTAAATTACAGTGTAAATTATAATTCATGTATATCAACTAATCCGTCAGACGAAAAAGTTGTTCTATGCCAATGATAATTTACACTGTTTGCAATGAGTGGCCAATTTTACAATATCGTGCAAAACTAGTATTTCGGGGCGACAAGATTTAGCCTTTATACAGTAAGTACTATAACAAGTAAGTCATCCTAGAACAACCAGTATCCCACAGACTCCACGACAAGATCATCAAGATCCTATCACCTAAACCAAAAAAAGGAGTTTAATCTATGCCTAAACTAATCACGATTTTCCTATGAAGACTTTCTCAACTGATTACTCTTAGTTAATTCTCTCTATCTTATTTTCATGCATATACTTCTCTACTCACGACAACTGATACCTAACCTAATAAGATTTCATTGCATCAATGATTTTTTTACATAAGTAAATAATTATCCATTTAACTAATCGTTTTACTTATACATTTTCATACGAATAGGGTTTCTCTTTATCGACAGTACTATTTCATTTGGTTCTTTATTTTTCTCACGCACTAAAGGAAATTTAATAACAGGAAAATATTTAAATATGTTATGTATATATGTTAGCCTACTTTTGATTTTTATTGACAATAAATCCATGAAGTTTTTAGAGGAATATTAAACCAGCGTGTTTGTTGTAGATCCGGAGAACACTGAAGCAGCAGATTTGCAGAGGAAACTAGAGTACTTGAACAGTATTGTTGACCAGGAACAGCGGGCTGAACAGGCGCGCCGACAGATGCAGTACTTCGGACACTGTGAGTAGTATTGATTATAATCAGTATATAACACCACATAGGCTATTACTCTGAATGTATAATTTTATGAAGCCGTATTTTCTTTGGATACCAAAGCTACATTTCTCATCCTATTATCAAATTTGGATTAAGAAAAAGATTGAGTAGTAGATCTAACAATCACAACAATCAAGGTGTTAAACTCGCAGGTTCAGCGGAATGCTATCGTCAGGCCCTCCAGTCCAGTCCAGTAAACACAGAACTGCTTGATTAGGTTTGTTGAAGGTTTAAACCACAAAACACAGTACACACAACACGTATAATAATTCAACAAACGACATAAAAAATAATAACTTTGGTATGTAGTTAATTTAGTAGTTAAGATTTTTGTGATAGAGCTGTTATACTGTTGTGTGGCCAGTTGGTCATGGCTTTATCTTTATGTTACATTTTTTTGCTAAGGAGGAGCAGGGCGCCCCCTGCTGGATCCACTTCTGTGTGAATTTTTTTATAAAAGCAGTATTTATTTGTGCTATTGTTAATTGTTAGATCGTTTTATATTTCTTTAGACGAAAAAAACACTCCTAGAGTCAACGGATGCAACTATTAAAATCGTCTTCAGCTGGCCCATATATAGACGTGTTTATCCAAGGCCAGTCCAGTACCACGAGTTTAAATCACGGCCACCTTTAACACCAGGCCGTGGCCAGGTAGAATTGGCAACGTCGCAAGTAGTACTTTTTAGCGTCAGATGTCCCATAAGCTAACATGGCAGACAGGTGACAGACGCCCTCTCATTTAATCGGATGTTATTACCGTTGAACACAGCCCTTCTGGCAGTTTTGCTACTTCGAACGCCGCGGCCTGGAGTTAAGTTCTATAATGTTCAACAGCATTAACAAGTAACAAAGTTTACCAACAGACCGCATCACTATTATTTTTTCCCCGTTGCAAGGCGAATGCATGGGTGCAGAAACTAGACCGAATAACTGGCAGTTTGATAGTGATAGACAAGTGATTAGGCAATATAAATATTTGCTTTATCCTTACTATACGGAATAATAATTTAAAAGGTCATGTTAGCCCGTATAGTAAAGTCACAAACTTCAGCCGGTTCATAACAAAACTCAAAAGTATGTTGGGTGAAGCCGACGGGCAAGAGCTAGTACTAAAATTGAAGTGGTGTCTGTCTGTCCTGGGCAGCTGCTCGACTAATGCCAATGAATACAGAACCATTCTGTATTCATTGCTAAGCTAATACTAAACCGTTTCAGCCAAAATTAAGCACAAAGATGGTCCACATATCTAGGAATGCCATAGGCCTATTCTCTTTCCAGAATTCCTATCGGGCGGCCTCGCCGAATGATGACGAATGACGTGAACGTGAATGACGCTCTGTGCGCGACACTAGTGCCCAGTGTCATCAACATGAACTAGGCACGAAAAACAAGCTTGACAGCTTGAAATGACAGTGTTGTTGAAACATTACTTGAAATGAGATTGGAAGTCTATCTGCGTTGGTTAGTCTATGATATAGCTTTATGTGTAAAAAGCTAAAAACTTGCGTTTTGTCTAACTTAACTTATGTAAAATATGGATACATGCAGAGGTTCTTTGTGAATTTGTATTAAAAAAGTATTTTGAAATATTATATTTCAAATTGTACTGCAATAACAAAAATCAAAGTAATGTAATGCATAACTGGATAAGTTTATACTGTATTTAAAAAGCAGTGTGTGATCAATGCTAAATCCTTGTTGTTTTAGCAAAAGTCTGTCTGTTTCTTTTTAAATGTCAAGTTGATTTATCTTATCAGTGCTAGCAAAGTAAATAAAGTAAAGCTAACATCTGATTTTGACAGGTTGGTGTAGGTGGACACTGACACAACCCAAACAATTAAAACATCTAATCTACCCTACCCATGGATAAAGCCGATAAAGTGTTTAACGTCAGCCCAAGATACTTTTACCATTTTATCTAGTATTTTATTAGGTAGTATTAGCTGAGTTAAACTCAATTGGTTTATTATTATTTAACAAGCAATGTGGTCATTTATTATCTTGTTTAGGCCTACTTTAAACCATGGCTTTTCAAAGAATTGTTAAAAAACAAATATTTCTTTTTGTGGATTTCAGGCCTATGTTCATATTCTACCTAATAACTTAGTAAACTAATCTGGAATGTGTGTAGGCCTATATTCTCATTTGTAAGGAATTTCCATAAAAGAAAAAAATACCAAATTATAACTTAGAGATAGATGGGCAAAAAAAAACACAAAAAAACGAACTAATAGGCTACCATATCTATTGCATTTATTAACTAGCTTATTGAATTCATAGGAATTAGCTTGATTGGAGACAATATATGTTAAAGTGCCATAAAAAAAAATCATGGTAGTAACTGAAAAGAGCAACTTTTTATTCTCTTGATGTCCATGGCTGAAGGTGGTTTCAAAACCACTAGTCAACATCATCACATTGGTATTTATTTTGGAGTCCTATCAGAATACCAGATACCATCATCACCTACTATCTTTAACTGAAAGCTCCAGATTTCTGAAAACCACTAACTTACTGCTACTAAGTTATCCATGCTACAAAGGCCACAATATTCATTAGCGTTTGTGTTTTACAGCTGGTTATTCGGAAGATAGTGACTACACTAGTGACCTGAACTATCCAGTGGGCCAGCATGCTAACAGCTCGGCCAGCCAGTTTCGCAGCACTGCACACCAGATGAGCACGCCACAGCGTTCCTTGGAGACCAGCCGAGAGAACTCGTATGAGACTGACGAACCTCCAAGCCAGCCTCCTCCTGTACACCATGGCCACCACCTTGCTCCTGGTAACTGTAGGCCAAAGTAGTCTTTCCGTAAACATAATATATATAGGCCTTTATTATCACTACTTTCTTTTTTAAGTATTTAGAGGTCTTTCAACTTTGTATTTGCTAGTTCATGTTGTGTGTGTGGTGCACCTCACAACATCGCTGTCTGGTTTCACAGCCTGTGACACTACACCTACTGACTAAAGGTTGTGAGTTGCCGATACACTAGAGGTCATTGGATCATTGGATGGTACCTTATTAACAATAATTGGTTTAACGTAAAACTAACAGCTAAGCGAGGAGAACATACGTGTAATAATAATTCCTATATGACTCTCACTAATCCAACATATTTTGACCCTCACAATCTCGTCCTTGTTGGCGGTTGTAGCCTCTTTTAACGTTCCATTTTCCTATCCACATGGGTCACAAAAAGTAGGAAAGTGATGTGCCAATCAAGCAAGGGGTGAGCCAAAATGAGCAGGTACAATCATGGCTGTATTTCCCTACTGGTGGACATGACGGTTGCCCGGAGCTTCACTCAGGGCTTAAATTCTTTTTCTTTTGATAGACCAGGCACGTTTTTGATCCTGTCAGCGCCCTAGGCACAACTAACAGTAGCGCCCCTTTGCAATATATATAACAGGGTGTCCACCAACCGGGAAATCCGGGAATCATGCGGGAGTTTTTTGAACCGGGAATTATGTCTGAATTTTGTATTTCTACCTAGAGTTTTCAATTTATCGTGATCGCACATGACAACATCAGTGATGTTTCCGTGACCGCGGGAGACGCACACAGCCGCAAGGGATGACCAGAATATTACCACGATCACGGAAGACAATGATAATGTCCACACGACCGCGGGAAACAGCAAGAGTTTTGCTGCGATTGCAGAAGACGATGATGATCTCCACACAACTGCGGGACATGATTAACATTTTGCCGCAATCGCGGGAGATGATTTCCATGTATTCACGACCACGGGAGACTGTTACGATGTCTACAGGACTGTGGGAGATACAATAATGATTTTTACACGGCCGTGAGGGATGATCAGAATTATGCCACGATCGCGCAAGACGATGATAATGTCCACATGACCGTGGGAAAAATTTTGCCTCATTCGTGGAAGACAATGATTACCATTTTTCCGCAATCGCGGGAGACAATTACAATGTCTTCACGACTACGGGATACGATTACGATGTCTTCACGACTACGGGAGACGATTACGATGTCTACAGGACCGCGGGAGATGCGATAATGATTTATACACGGCCGTGAGGTATGATCAGGTGCCGCGATCACGGAAAACTATGATAATGGCCAAACGGTCGCGGGAAAAGATCGGAACTTTGCCTAATTTGCGGAAGAGGATGACGATCCCCACAAAACCGAGGGAGATAATTACCATTTTGCCACAATCACGGGAGGCGATTACTTTGTCCACAAGACCGCAGGGGACGAAATAATGATGTCTTCACGGCCGCGAAGGGTGGTCAGAATTTGACCGCGATCGCGCAAGACGAGGATGATGTCCACACGACCGCGAGAAGAAGATCAGAATTTTCCCTCATTCACGGTAGACGATGATAATTTCCTCACGACCGCTGGATATGCTTATGTATTGCCTCGATCATGGAAGACGATAACTATGTCTAAACGACCCGACCACGGAAAATAGTAAGAATCTTGCCGCAAACGCGGGAGACTATTACGATGTCTACACGGCCGCGAGGGATTATCAGAAGTTTACCGTGATCGCATGCAAACAGCAATTTTTTTATTTACCAAATTGTTGGCGCCCCCCAAAAAAGCCAATTGCCTCGCGCCCTAGGCACGTGCCTACCGTGCCTATTCGGTAAATCGGCCCTGTGATAGACCAGTCCAACTCTGATAATCTGTTTCGCTGCAATAGCAGAAAACAATAATGAAATCTTATACCCCGGGAAAGATTTTGACTAATTCGCTAAAAACTTATGAGTTGTTCACAACACGTTCGCTACGGCACATCAAATGGCAGGCGTATCCCCAGGACGGCGCAGCCCGTAGTGTCGCACAAACCTGATTGCCGTGTGTAATTGGCTTTAAAATTTCGGTCTGACGAATAGCAAATAACGTGCGGGGATGTCCTGCTTTACGACAAGAGTCAAAGTAGTTCGCTTAAACACCCACCTGATAGCAGCAGTTCTTGGAACGTAGCCGGTCCCATTGTGATTGTATTGCCAATTGGAGGTTGAAAGACGGGACAACAAGTTGATTTTTAAGCTTGCCAGATGGAGATTTTACGGGGAAATTTACTACAAACCTACACCACAACGAAAAGCAATATGAAATAGCAAGTGTTAAAATAGTAAAAATTTTGCACAGTCGTGGAGACATCATTATCGTCTCCCACACGATCGTAACAAAATTTAAAAAAAGAAAGTAAACTGTAAATTTTAAAAATCATCCTCAGGTACTATATGCAATCGAAAACATCTTTTGACAATTGCAAGAATAAAGGCTTGACTCAAAAATTTAACCCCTTAAGAAATTAGTTGGTGGGTTTGATTTTTCAAGAGACAAAATTTTCCCAGGGCCCCCTGGCAACCGCCGTGTCCACCATTAGGGAACCGTGGCCCTGGCTAAAACTCCATAATTAAGCTAAGTCCCCTGGGGATATTGATGGAACAGCGTGGTAACACATTCTGTGATTAACAGCTATGTCTGTTAAAGTTTTAACTATTTAAACCTAGATACCCTATCCAAATAATAATTAGATAATTAGATTAATTCGTATATACCAAGGTAAAAATGTGGTTCGGATTCCACTATAAACTGTAGGTCCCTTAGTTGCCATTGGCTGTATGAGCTATTAATTAACGGCTGTGTCTAAGGAATGTCGGCCTTAGTCACTAACAAGACTACAAGATCGCGCCACTCATCCTACACTCATCTCCATTCATACTTGGCTTAAAATACCTACTTTGTATGGTCGCCATTTCATTGAACAGTATTAACAGTATTAACAAAGGCCTACACAAGTAATATTTTTCATAAAACAACAGCTCACCACATATAGATCTTTGGGACATGCTCTTTTAATATTCTAGTCTCTTTTTGGATAAGCCAAAGATACCAACTTCTTCGGGTACGGTCATCATGCTTGAATACACTTCAAATACAATTCAAGGACTAGATATTTTAAAATTTCCTATCAAAATTCCTAATGCATTTAAAATAATAATAATTAAGACATATTTGCTCCTAAACTATACCATCTTCTGACAAGCAATTTTAAATTCTTGGGCTAGTAAAACATCATGGTTTGAAAACATACTTTTCATTTACAAAAACCATAAAAAACTACATCCTTTTATAAGTAGTGGCTGGTGAAGGCGTGTTGGAGCTGTAAAGCTCAAGTCCATTCATCACAATACTGTCACTTTTGGTAAAATATATCACTCCTCTATTTCATCCAAGCTTTTGTTCAGAATTTCGGTATTTAAATATAATTTTTGAAGTGCCTCTGTGTACATTGTAACTTGTCACAGTCAGTCTCTTTCAAGGCAACCTTATAATTTAGCTATACCTTTAAAGCCTATACTAGATGCATAGCAGAGAACTCTACTTTATTATCTTAATCTTTGAATTGAACAATGTTTATAAAAAATAAAATACCCCGCCGCAGCAATTAAACCTGCAGACTAAGCGAATTTCCATTTGTCTGATTGTATTTTCAATTAAATCTATTTAAATAACAATTGGTTTAACAAGTACCAAGGTTTGCTGCTACAGGGAGGGTACTGCGGGTGTTTTTGGTAAAATATTAATAGCTTAGTATAAAATAAATAAATTTGCCGAGTTTGATAAAAATATATCCAAAAACAACAACATTGTAGCTTTGACTATCAAATAGTCTATGATTATACTTATTCTCCATAAGAACAACATGGGAATTTTTAAGTTATACATTTTTAGAATTTTTTTTAAACCAAACACCGTAAAAAAAAACAACAATATACAAAATTATTTATTGTTTAAGCTCTTTAAAATGGTTTTAAGAGAAATTGAGAATGTTTATGTTTTGTGGGTCAAAAATGAGTAAATCATGTATTTACTCCATAAACCCCTGATCGCAAGGTCCGATCATGCTGGTTTGCGAACTCATTTAAGTTTATCCCACCTACATCTTCAAGGCAAATTTCATTGAAATCGGACATAGATTACTAAAGTTTACAAACATATAAAATATCGATAAAATAAAAAAAAAATCAAACAAATTTTATTTTTGGCCTCTAGGGACATCAAAATTAAAAATAGCTTCTTAATTAGCATGACACGTTTTATTGATTTTATGGAGAGTGAATAAAAATACAAGGGTTTTTTTTCAACCCCCGATTGCTCCATGCAGACGCTACGCGGGAGGCAGAAGGCGGGCATGCGCCTTAGGCGATTGCGCAACTCTTCCACTACACTTGTCGCCATTGTTGACACTCGCGCGTCAGTTGGCGTTGTGCTACAGCCACATAAACATGGCTGCCACCATTGATGCTCCCACCAAGTGTGAATTGCGAAGTGTTATTCGTTTTCTACAGGCTGAAGGCCATAGAAATCCATCAGAGAATGAGTCGTGTGTATGGGGAAAACTTTATGAGTGATGGTGTTGTGCGTGAATGGTGTCGAAAGTTTAAAGACGGCCGTAATGATGTGCACGATGAAGGGGGACAAGGGATCAAATCTGTCATTTCAGATGACCTGGTTCAAGGTGTTGACAGAATGATGAAAGGAAACCGCAGATTCACCATTAGGCCTACTGCTTTGTCTTTGGAATTTCCCGATGTTTCAAGGTCTGTTTTGTACTCTATTGTTACTGAATGGTTAGGCTACAGAAAACTTTGTGCACGTTTTGACCCAAAAATGTTGACAGATGGCCACAAAACTCGACATATGGCGTCAGCTTTGCAGTTCCTTGAGTGTTACCATGACGACAGAGACGACTTTTTGAAATGGATCGTGAGTGGGGATGAAACTTGGATTCAGTACGACACAACGGAAAGAAAACGAAAATCACAACAATGGATGCATTCAAATTCACCAAACAAACCAAAGAAATTCAAACAAACCTTTAACAACAGAAAGGCCATGGCCCAAAGGTGTGTTGCTTTTGGAATTCATGGAACCTGGAACCACAATCACTGCAGCTGTTTATTGTGAAACTTTACGACGTTGCGTAGAGCCATTCAGAACAAACGAAGAGGAATGCTCACTTCTGGAGTTGTTTTGATCCATGACAATGCCCGTCCACGGCGTCCACACACTGCTGGAGCATCTCAACAGCTTCTCGACCAATTTGGATCGGACATTTTTGATCATCCGCCATACAGTCCTGACAGTGCACCCAGCGACTTTCACCTTTTTCCTAATCTGAAGACGTGGCGTGTAAGAAGCGTTTTCAAAACAATGCGGAACTCCAAACCAACGTCAAGGACTACCTAAATGCGGTGGCGGCAACCTTCTATGAGGAGGGCATACAAAAGCTTGTCCACAGATACGACAAATATATGAATCTCTATGGCGATTATGTCGAAAAGTAGCTGTAAGTGTACCTTTCTTTTTGGTAATAAATGTATTATTTTATATGGACTTGTCTTTTATTTATAGCCTATCGGAGGTTGAAAAAAAAAACAAGCCTCGTACTTTTAAGACCCATTTTACTAGAGCGTGAATTTCGCAAAATGTTGTGCATACTACATGTGTGTGCCGGGATCTTCGTCGCGTGAAGTCCGCTCGAAATCCGTTGGACCATTCTACACGAGGCTGTTCAAACGCGGGATGGTCACGGTGGAGCTTTTGGTTTTATAGCTGGAGTAGTCCAACTCTCCAGCTATTAAATATATGTTTAAAACATTTGCTGCATCAATGGCAGGCGCCCGATTGACAGGGCGATGCGTTTTCAAATATTTCTGTCTGACGAATAGTAAATAACGTGCGGTGATGTGCTGCATTACAACGAGAGTCAACATAGTTTGCTAAAACAATTACAGATAGCAGCACTGCTTGGAATGTAGCCAGTTCCATTGTAGGGAGAAACAGGGACAGCAAGTTGATTTCTAAGCTTGCCAGACGGGGATTTTACGGGGAAATTTACTACCAACCTACACCACAATTATAGACTAGTATTAGAGACACAATAGTAACGCTTACCAACCGTCCTTGGCTAGATCCTGAGACATACTAACTGATGGGCAAACCGCAGCCGCCTCACACCATGGCCATCCATGCTTCACCAGGGACACAGCTTCAGCAAATGTGTTAAAGTATTATTAGATGTATTTTTATTTACTCTCCATCAAAATGAGAAAAAAGATTTCGGTCCCAGCTCTAGGTCTTTCCATGCCACCTACTATTGAAGTTAGCAATCTGTTGCTCAATAGGCTACATCATGTACTGCTTATTAGTACGATGAGTTAGCAAACATTCACTTTGCTCTTTTCAATAAAGTTAAGCCTTAAAACTCTTACCATTAATGTTTATAGTTTATTTAAATAAAGACCAGCACAACCTCAACAATCCAACTGTATCTTTTCCATGTTAATTCATAATATTATGAACATAAAAAAATTATTTTATCTTTATTCAACACAGATGTTGTTATGACTGATATCACCACTATCAAATAAATGTTTGCGGCCTACCGGATCTATTGTCCTCCTGCTTGGCTCTGCTGTTTTCCCTTCAGACTCAGTTTCCTTGCAAAATTTATAAAGGATAATGTAATTCTATGTGGAGTAAACCCCCTTATTTGGCATTTTCAAAAGAGCAAGCCAGGGCTTGATGCATTTTGTAGTCACTGCATATTTGGTTTTATACTTTTGGAGACCTGATGATGGGATCGTTAGTCCAAAATGTATACATAGTCATTGTCCTAAAAAAAAATTGCTTGGACGGAAGGTATGTAACCTTGATTATTTTACAAATATTTTACGTCCCTGATAGTTGATGCAAAAAGAGTAGCAGGGTTTTATGTTTTGTGTCTATAAAGGGAAAATAAAGGAACTTATTGATAAAATACTCTTTTAATGTGCAGGTCCCCAGCATCCGTCAAGAAGAAGAACACAAAGAGGGGAAGACTTGTACAACACTTACTCTGGAGACGGCTCAAGGAACTATAATGACCACGAGGATCCGCTTTCGTACAACAGTAGGCCGCGGAACTACAAAGAGCCTTCGAGGTAGGTGGATAGATATAAACATTATCATTATGATTGTTAGGAGTATAAAGAGTTTAGAACCCTGAAATTCTGTCCCGCTTGGCGAGGTCACATTACATATTAATGTTTTATTTTAGGGACGTGCAGCCACAACATTTTCAAAGCTACTGAAAAGTTTAACCAGCATTGTTCATACTTTTTTTACTTCCATGGTTATTACGAGGGCTGTCTAAAAGTAAATGGTTCCATAAAGCTCCTGTCGCGGCTAAGCAAGGTATAGTTAAAACCTGTGACCAATGTTGTGGTGTTTTCTTTACTTCATCCACTACTACTTAAGCCGGTTCTCACCCCTCCTGAAAATATGTTAGGAGAAATAGTCGCTCCAGCCAAGTATGAGTCACATAATTTCATTGGGTTTCTTTAGGAAGCAGTTCAGCCCTTTTTACAGTTAGTTGACAGTTGACAGATGAATTCAGGAATCTGTTTCAACGCAGAAAATGTGCTCAAGTGGATTGTGGAGCTCAAACTCACAGAAGGCCGTTAGTAGACATTTGCACGAGGCTGTCTTTATTCAGTTGCCATTGAGACATTACATTTTTTGAAACTGCTTCAGGGTCGACATGTTTAAGATAAAAGTCAGTATCTTAGAGATGGTACAAAAAGGAACGCAGAGCTATCTTTGACCTCAAACATAATTGATTTTACCAGGGTTTATCATAGTAATTTCTAGTTACAAAAGTGTCCCCTATCAGTTCGGTAGTCCCTCCTACTTAATCACAACACAATCTGCAAACTAAGATTCTCTAACTTTGGTAACTGCCTTAAAGGAGACTGACAAACGTCAATAGTTGGCCTGAACCATTAAAAAACATTTTGCAACCTCTGACCTCCCTTACAGGCCTTATGCACATTTGCCCTCTCCAAACACTATTCCTCATTCTTGTACGTTAACTGGCAATAGACTCCAAATCAGTTAGTTGGCAACTAAGATCACATTACAGTAGACCCTCTCTAATCCGGCACTGCACCACTCCGGCACTCCAGTAATCCGGCGTCTTTTGACGGGAGGTCTTCCACGATCGCGGCAAAATTCTGATTATCTCCCGCGGCCGTGTAGACATCATAATTTTCTCACGTGGTCATGAAAACGTCATCATCGTCTTGCGCGATCGCGGCAAAATCATAAACATCTCCCGCGGTCACGGAAACGTCATCGTCGTCAAGCACGATCGCGGCAAAATCACGAACATCTCCCGCGGACGTATAGACGTTATCATCGCCTCCCGCGGTCACGGAAACATCATCGTTGTCAAGCACGATCGTGGCAAAATCATGAACATATGAACATCCCCCGCGGTAATGTAGACATTGTTGTTGCATTCCATGGCCGCAGCAATAATTTTATCATCTCCCGTGGCCGTGTAAACATCATTGTCTACTCCCGCGGTCACGGAAACGTCATCGTCGTTTTGCGCGATCGCGGCAAAATCATTAACATCTCCCGCGGTCACGTAGACATTGTTGTTGCATTCCATGGCCGCAGCAAAAATTGTATCATCTCCCGCGGCCGTGTAAACATCACTGTCTACTCCCGCAGTCCCGGAAATGCCATCGTCGACTTGCGCGATCGCGGCAAAATCATTAACATCTCCCGCGATCACGAAAACGTCATCGTCGTCATGCGCGATGGCGGCAATTTTACGATTATCTCCCGCGGACGTGTAGACGTTATCATCGCCTCCCGCGAATACGTAATTGTCATGCCCGATCGCGGCAATAGCGGTTTCCGATCACGCGAATTTCGGAAACGTGTTTTAATTGCATTTTAAGGGTTTTTAATGATAACATTCCAGTAATCCGGCATTTTCACTAATCCGGCAGTATGGTGGTCCTATATCTGCCGGATTACTGAGAGCCTACTGTATCTACATTTATTAGTTAGTAGACGTAAATTTTCTTTCACAACGTTTTCAAATACTATGTTGATACCTGTTTTTTTAAATCTTTTTATAAAAAAGAGGTTATAGCAGCCTCTTTTAACCTTGCATTTTCCCGTCCACATAGACCATCTGCCCGTGCGTGGAACGTATCCAGCAAAGCAAGGGGTGAGCGGGTACAGTATGAAGGTGAACCGTACTGATAAAATGTTGGCGGCAGTGACCATGATCCGAACCCACGACATCGCTGCCTTGGGCCGAAGTCCGTGATGCTACCGACTGAGCCACCGACTCACCAAAAAACCAACTCTATATACCTAATCGCCATAAAGGGCTGGAAAACAAATAGAATAGCAATGGATGAAAAAAAAAAACAACTCAACATTGCGATGAGAGATTGATGGTGACCTAAAGCCGCGTTTACACCGGAGTTTGAAACACGAGCTGCAAACAGAAATTGCAAACATCTCTAAAACGCACAGTTTTAGACGAAACATTTCGCTGTTGCAAACAGTTTTTCAGTGTTTGCAACAAAAATTTTAGTTTCCACTAGAAGTCGGTAAAGATCAAAGGGAGTTGCAAACTCTTTGTTTGCAACACTAGTTTCGGTCAATATGAGCCGTTGAAACACGAAACAGAAACATTTCTGAATTTTTGAGTTTTAACGGTTGCTATAGCTCATAAAAAGTCATTCAATTGGTTTGACTTGGTATAAATGTTCATGTATTGGACAGAAATCTGTAATTTACATTAGCACAATCTAATCCGTCGGTGGCTCACATCAACTACAACGATTTTGATTTGAAAACTAATGACAACTGTAACATGTGGGTGGAATGTATAGTTCTATCAATAGTCAAAGATGATAGTTATAAAGACTGGAATATACAGTTAGTCCATATTATGTGATTCCAGCAATAGGTGGGATCGATCCATCACCTATCTTTCTGAAGCTACCACTAAGGTTTAAATACCTTATACAATAGACCCTCTCTAATTTGGCACTGCACCACTCCGGTACTCCAGTAATCCAGCATCTTTTGTTTTGACGGGTGAGGTCTTCCACGCAAAATTCTGATTATCTCCCGTGGCCGTGTAGACATCATCATCCACTCCCGCGGTCATGGAAACGTCATAATCGTCTTTTGCGATAGTGGCGAAATCATGAACATCTTCCATGGCCGTTTAGACATCATAATCTACTGCCGCGGTCACAGAAACGCCATTGTCGTCTTGCGGGTTCGCGGCAAAATCATGAACATCTCCCGTGGTCGTGTAGACATTATCGTTGTCTCCTGCGGTCATGGCAAAAACTTTATCATCTCCTGCGGCCATGTAAACATCATTATTCACTCCCGCGGTAACGGAAACGTCATCGTCGTCATGCACGATGGAGGCAAAATCACAAACAATATCTCCTGCAAACGTTTAGACGTTATCAACGACTCCAGCGGTCACGGAAACGTCACCGTTGTCATGCTTGAATAGCTGTTTCAGATCACGTGATCTTCGGAGACGTGTTTTAAATGCATTTTAAGTGTTTTTATTGATAACATTCCAGTAATCCGGCATTTTCACTAATCCGGCAGTATCATGGTCCTATATCTTTTGGATTTACTGAGAGTCTACTGTACTGTCAAAGTGATCCCTAGCAGTCTATAGGCTACTGCAGTTTCATCCCGAGGGGAACTTCTTCAGGCTGTGAAGGACATCAAAATTGCATTCCAGAGAAAGTCGTCAAAGTTAAAATCCTTCGAAGTCACATTTACACAAATCACAGACAAACGCACGAACAAAACAAATATACATTACTAAAACCCAGTAACAGGAAACATGTACATGAGCATTAACTAGCCACCCTTTTTACAAACTAGATGAGTTTTTTTAAAAGCGATATTTCAAAATTGATGTTTGAAAAGCAACCGCAATGTCCCTAACTTGTTTAATTCTTTGTGCCATTCTAGTCACATTATTTAAGTAACTTGTTTCTGATGTTAACCATTTTGATATAGTCATATTTTTATTTACCTTTGTTAATTTGTTTCAAAATCTATTTTTATCATCTTGCCATGTTAGTATTGTTTCTATGTACTCGTTCTATTTTAACTTGTATTTTGCTCATATTTTTTGCCCTATGTTTCACCATGTTCCTGCCATTAGACTAGATTTTAGATTATAACCAGGCCAGCTTGTCTTAACTTATTTGATAAAATTATTTTTGTTACTGTTTCATGTGAAATATTTAATTACATTTTAATATTATGTAGCAAATGACGAACCCTATTGCACTGTAAAATGTTTAAAGGGTAATAAAGATTCTTATTCTTATTCTTATTCTTATTCTCATGAACAGGGCCGGTTCTAGGAATTTTTCAGAGTTAAGCGAACACCCGAATCAGCGCCACTTAGGATTCCCCCCCCCCCAAACCATTAACACAACTTAACCGTATTTGTGAATTTTTTACAATAATTTTGGGAACAACTTTTAGCGAATTTCCCTATAGGGAAGTAGCTATTACCGTAGGTCTCATGGTAAGACTTAGGCCCGGGACCGATTTACTTTTTCATTTTAATGTCCCCAGAGGCCAAAAACACCATTCGTTCAAATTTTTATATATGTATATATATATATATAGGTATATATATATATAGATTTATATATATATATATGTGTCCGTGAACACGATAACTTGAGTAATTTTTATCCGATTTTGATGAAATTTGGTTTGAAGGTGTAAGGCGGGATAAACTTGAATGAGTTCGCGATCCAGCATGATCGGACCATGGGAACAGGGTTTTATGGGGGGTTTTATGGGGTAAAAATTGGTTTTTCTCACTTCTTACCCTCAAAACACAAAATTTCCCAATTTTTCTCTAAACCTTCTTAAAGAGCTTAAAAAAACAAACAATTCAGTATATCAAAGTGTTTTTGTACGGTTATTGGTTACGGAGAAAACTAAAAAAATGGTAAATTTAAAATTCCCATGTTATTCTTATGGAGAATATTGTAAAATGTTGTAGTTTGCTTGTTTATGGATATATTTTGATCAAACTTGGCAAATTTATTTATTTTATAGTAAGCTATCAATATTTTACTAAAAACACACTACTTTATTATTAGTTTCCTTGTAGCAGCAAACCTAGGTACTCGTTAAACCTAATGTTATTTAAATAGATCAATTGAAAATCAATTCGGCGAAATGGAAATTCGCTTAGACGGCAGGTTTGCTGCGGCGGGGGTATTTTAGAAGTTTAAGTTAGAAGAATACTTGCAATATAAGATTGTTTATTATTCGCAGAAATTTAACATTTTTACACTTTTACTCATCATATAAACTTTAGCAAAACCAAGGCCACACTAAAATAGCTACTTCCGTATAGGGAAATTCGCTAAAAACAGGCCGTCATGTTCGTCAAGCATGACGTCACGATAGAAGACGGCAATGACGTAATTTGCCGTTTGTGATCAGCTGCTTGTTTTAATCTTTCCTTGGGAAATACATAAATAAATACCTACGTCATTGCCGTCTTCTATCGTGACTTCTTTGGGCTGACTGGACTCGCCACCAGATGATTTCAACAAAAATCTACCTACACATTGATTTGTCTTGTTTTTTATCTTCCTGTTCCAAATTCACCTTACGATTTCTATAATAAGTGCCAGACGTTTTCTTTTTTTCTGCCATTGTTTTCTTAGTATCGGCTCGCAAGATGTTTTACTCATTTATTCAGTTTATACTTTCTTCTTATTTAATGCGCTAATTATAAATTAAACTTAAAACACTCGTAATCATTCACTTATCAACAATCATGAATCATCAAAACAACGCCAATACGATACCGATACGTATAAAACTAAAAGAGTGCAATACAACGTAATGCTCAGCTCTAGGATAAGAGAAAGAAGGGAGGGAAGGGAGGGGAAAGTTTCTTGTTGTGACAAGTGGCGCTGCGCGCTAAGCGCGCTTGCTTATCTCTAGTTAGTATGAGTGAGTCGTGAAATGAAACCCACCGGCGCTGCGCCGTACGCTGCCAAGCGTCAGCTCACTACAAATCGAAACTGCAAATGGCATTGAGATTGAGTCCTTGAGTTGTAGTGCTGTACAAATATACACATTTTTCAAGTGTACAAACAGAATAAATGCCTTTATTGTGGTATACTTGGACTATGAGCGAAAATAAACAAAATTACGTTGTTCACGTAAAAAAAAATGTTCCGTTGGCACCACGGCGCCACTTTTTTGTGGCGCCATATGCGGCCGCGTAGTTCGCGTAAACCGGCCCTGAACATGAAGTACACACAGAGGGCAGGTCTATTATTCTATAAATATAAATGTCAGTGTCATAAAACCCACTCAACTAACACTTTTGCAGAAAAAATCTAAATTGCAGTTGGATTTTTGTTCCAGAGCTAGGAATATTGTCTTAAAGCTGATGTCACCTGCATAATCACTTACCCCTAATATGAATCCTGCTTGTATTCCTACAACAGTATGTGCTTCTTGCTTTACTATAAAATAATTAACAGCTAGCCTCTTGTCCTGCTCTTTTAAGATGTCTTAACTACTCTGACTCTTCATATGATATCTATGATAATGTGTATTGTGAGTATTCATAATTTAAAATTAAATATTCTAGAGCAAATTGGTTTGTTTTGTAATGTAGGGTATTGCTATTTTACAAAGTGCTCATGCTCAAATCTTTTGTGGTTTCACCTGTCAACCATAAGAAAACAATGGTATACAATTAACAGAGAATCAGAACACTAATGAGGATTACAGTTAAAATATTTTTATTTGATTGGTCATGAATTTATAAGTAGATTTTTTCCAAGCAGTTAAAAATTTATATATGGTAGGCAATATTGACACTGTTCTTGTTTTGTCTTAGGAGGAGAAAGAAAACTTGGGATTATGAAGACAGGTAAGTGGAGAAAAGTGGAATACAATATTAGATATAACTAATGCTGCATATATTTTCACTTTGTTAGAGCATTTTGAATGATTTAGAGAGATGCAACCTGCTATCTATTATTTTTACTCCAGATGTCTACCTTTGTTCCGATATTTCTCAACCAATTCTGTGAGACGTGCTTGATACAATCAGCACAACTGAGTAAAGCTGCTGCCAAACAATTAGTAGAAATCATATTATATTAGGGATTATCATGCAAAACGCATATACTGTTCTATCACTGAAGTCATACATACATTCCAGTTTAGTATATATTGTAACAATGTTGTCCATGGATTAAGGTCTCCATCAAACTTCTTTAGCAACCAAGCAAGCTAGTTCAAATCTGGAACCAACTCAATGTTTTTACTTCATCCAGTCCTATTTAAATTAGTTCCCAACCAATTGACACTCCCACCAAGAATTTGATTACATGGCTACTGTACATGACGAGACGATAATCATCCATCCCATAGTAGGAACCAGTTGCAACATATGATTATTAAATCAACCTTTGGTTTAGGACAGTTGCATTGACAGGTTGTATCAATGGTACGGGATGAAGTAACAAACACAATATGGTCTCAGATTTGAACTAGGCTTAGTTCGCTTGCCCTCAAGGGGAACTCGATGGAGACTGTACTGTAATTTATGGACAGCCCTCGTATTTCATAATAGCTTCATGTTCAGAGGAATCCACAAAAGGTGGCATCAAGTCTAATACTACACATGGTTTCACAAATAAGTTTTACCATTCAAGGATCTAAGTTTAGTGTACTCTAATGTGTTTTTGTAAAAAAATATGTGAAACTCTTTCTGAATAAAAATAATATGATTTAACTTGGCGTTAATCTACAAGGTTTTAGGAATAATCTTGTATGATCACTGTATTATGTTGTAGGTTTGTTTGATTTAGATGAGCCCTAATTTTAACTTTGTATCACAGTCAGACAACATGGTATGAAGACGGGTACACGGAGAGCTTTGAGACCCCAGAAAACACAAGAATCTACCCTCCTCAGCAATACAACACCCCTGTCACAAGAGCCACTCCCAACAAGCGCAACAAAGGTACAACCATTCTAAATAAAATCATCACAACTCATTAATTAGACCAAATTAACAAATATAAGTTTGCATTATAATGTCACAATTCTCTTTATAGTTGAAAAATAACAATTATTCCTCAAAATCTACATCCTAAGATCTATAACTCTCAGGCTAGTCTCTCAATCTTGAGGTGGTTATTAGGGTTTAGTCATGCCTCATAACTGACTTGACTTACTTATTGCCAGTGCCACCCTACTGTGCAAGATAACTAAATAGTCAGTGATTCACAGTTTTTGTTTACACCAAGCTAGTTCTAATAACATATCCAAACTCTGTTCGGTTTAACAAGCTAGAATAGGACCGCACCTTCCCTCAATTTGTTGTAAGAAGCAACTAACAAGTGTGTTGGGAGATCCTTCATTTCATGCTCAAGACATTTTCCGAGGCCAAGCTTTCTTCTTATATTTGCCTCGTTCCTCTAAATCGTTTTTCTTTCCTTTCATTTTTTCTCTTTCAATTTCATTTTAGGAGATTTTACTCCTTCTTTTTTAACCGGCGCACACTGAGGGGCCTTGGGAGTAGTGATGGCCGAATCCAGGAATTTTGAATCTCAAATCCGAATCCTACAAAAATTGAATCTCAAATCCTCGAATCTCAAGTCCCAAAAATAATTAATTATAAATGGGGTTAGGGTAATTAAAAAAGCAAGAATGGAATGGGAACCATTTAAAAATAAATATAACCATTAATGACTACTGTACTCTTTGCAATGAAAAGTTAGGTAATTACTTTTGACACACGGCAAAAATAACAGACGACTAATCGGTTACATCTTGGAAAATATTTATTATTGGTTGTTTATGGTTGTTGTAAGTACACTTGTTAATTTAAAATTTGTTGATCGATAGTATTGGCATACTCTGTTCATAGAATTTTAAATAACATATTAAATACTACACATCAATTCAATCCACAGTCGAGCCTCGATTGGGAATCATATTATTGTGTAACTTTAATCATTGTGTCGTCTGTCTAGTGTCTACGAGTCTACGGTACAGTTCCGCCAATTGCTTGCTACACAACGCAGACAAATACTTATTGCGGGCGGTCAAGGTTAAGTCGATGATACCGGCAGTGGTAGCAATAGTTGCTCGAACGCTAGCACTGAACTAGAGCTACAACCTACAACCGAAGGTAGCACGGAATACTGAATGCGGGACTTGAGATATGTTGGCCACCATATGTACTAGGGGAATATTACAATACAATGAAACTAGGGGATTGTGTGGGATTACAACTAAGCCAACAGCCAATGAGCTGGTTGATTCTTCTAGTGGTACCAACATAACAACATTTTACAGCGGCTCGATTTTCTAGCAGAGTTGTCGTGCCTGTGCTACCTCCATTTGGATTTTTTCAGTCTACGACTATTTTGTGTTGTAAAAAGCATAACGGTTCGCTGATTCCATTACTTATCAGACTTGAATACAATAAATAACAGAGAGCGCACGATAATTTTGGGTCGGCATAAACTACGCCGGTTGTCTGACTCAGAATGTAAACGAACAACAAAACATTGACCATTGCTCCTTAAAAATATAAGTTTTTATAGGAAACGGTATCGAGAGTCGTGAGTAATATTTCATTTCAGAACTGGTATCGAATCCAGAAATTCTGTTATTGGCCTATCCCTATTTTTAAAATACAATTAATATTAGACTAGGACGTAGTTCAAGCCATAGCCATATGGTAAATACTGGGTGGCGCAAAAAGAACGCATGGATTTTGAAATGCTATAAGTTTGTTTATTAAAAACACACAATACTTTTTATAATACCAATAACTTACAACCAGCAATAAATCTAATTTAAGAATTGGTCATTGTGAAATCCAAAGTACCTTTTTAGGTTTTAAAATAACATCGGAGAGGTGGCGACCTTCTGCGTTCATACACATCAAAAGTCTCTCTTCAAAATTCTCCATAACTTTTGTCAAAGTGTCCTGTGATACTGCAACAATTTCTTCACGTATTGCAGCCTTTAACTCCTCGATAGACCGTGGTTTGCGACAGTACACTTTGAATTTCAGATGACCCCATAAGAAGAAGTCGCACGGCGATAGGTCTGGCGAGCGTGCAGGCCAATGGAGATCACCAAAACGTGAAATCACTTGATTAGGAAACATTTCTCTTACGACTTCCATGGATGCATTGCTCGTGTGGGCTGTGGCTCCATCCTGTTGAAACCATATGTCTGCCATATCGATCCCCAAAGCTTCAAGTTGTGGCTGCAAAAATGTGCATAGCATTTCAAAATAACGTTGAGAATTAAATGTGACAGTAGCACCATCCTCTTCAAAAAAGTAAGGTCCTACGATACCAACTTTTGAGACCCCACACCACACTGTAACTTTGGGACTATGCAGTTGTTTCTGATGCATTTCTCAAGGATTGTTAGCTGCCCAATAGCGGCAGTTCTGCTTATTTACCAAACTGTTCAAATGGAAGTGAGCTTCATCACTCATCATTAAAACAGCGTTGTCATTTGCAACGATATCAAGCATTCTCTCACAAAGACTTCTTCTTTGATCAAAAATCATGTTCATTAAGCTTCTGAACAATCATAATTTTATAAGGATGAAATTTCAACTCACATGTCAAAATACGCTGGAGCGACCAACGTGACATCCCTAAGGTCGGAGCGCGTCGCCTTGTGAAATGGTGAGGACTCTGAAGAACCGGGGCTCTGACAGTGTCGATGTTTTGTGGAGTACGCGCCATACGAGGACGGCCAGTCGACTTATTCTTTGTAACTGATCCTTTTGTACGAAACGAGTTCACCCAACGAAGTATCGTGTTGCGATCAGGTATCGAACCATTACGCTCGATATTAAACACTCTACGAAAGTTTCGTTGAACGGTAATTACAGATTCATTCGATTTGAAATACTGTTCAACAGCGAACACACGATGCTGAACAGTCCACTGTGCCATTGTTACTAAACCTGAACGCTCTAACGTACAAAGTGGCTTTCTTTTTGCGCCACCCAGTAAATAGACCGATGTGTTGTTTAAGAGACCGAGTTTGACTTTGTTCCAGCTATGCGTAGATCGTCACTGCAGCTACACGTTATTATGGAGCTTGCAGCGAGTCGGTGTATTCTTAATCGAATCTCGTTAATCGACTCTCGAATCCGAATCTTTCCTTAGGATTCGAGATTTGAAATTCTGATTCGGCACATCCTTAATTGGGAGTGCCCCTTTCGTGCAGAGGGGCTGATGTGTGCCTGGCACTGCCTATGGGACTGTTTGGCGCGTTGTCGGGGACCAGTCCCTTCCAGACCTAGTCATGGAATGCGGCATGAGTGCAGAAGTGATCATCAGAATTTCCTGTTCCAGACAAACCGATGCCTAACTCATGAAAAACCCTCTCTACTGTGTTGGTCACAGACCTGAGATTGTTTGTCACATATCTTCAAGTAAGGTCAACATGTGACCCCTAGTCCTCAGAGCACGTGCCGTTTTTGGCATTCAGTTATAAAATTATTTACCTAGACCAATATCCACTCAAGGTTGAAATTCTTTGTGGGTAAGATACCATGGACAAATTGTCATCAGGGGACACACAAGTTTATCCACTGACAGCTGTCCTACGTGATGTTAAGCCTCCAGGCAGCAGAAAAAAGTGTTTTCTGAGTCGTCAGGAGTGCATGGGCATTAGATGCAATCTTAAGTGACACAGCTTTGCCTATCCTTTATAGGTATGACGGGACACAGCCGTGACCTGTTCGAAATTTTGTAAGGTACCTCTCCATACTGCCGATTTACCCAAGGCTGGACTAGCTGAATCAGTTGCCTGGTCCAAAGTCCCCATGTCTCCAATTGTCAGTCTTGCCGCTAAAACCGGGAGGTATGAGTGTGCTCCCCTTTTCGTACCTGGTCCACCCCATGCTGCTGCAAAATTGCTTTTGTATCAGCCACCAAAATTTGGAAGGGGATGACTCCATCGACCATCAGATCACTGTTTGGTAGGCAGATGATAACCTGATGTTGCACACAGAAAGTCACATCCTGTATACATCCTTGAGTATATCTGCCAAACTTCCCCATTACACTTCCACATACTCTATAGTAGTGCAGAATGCACCGCAGACATCAATGGCTCTCCATGACATTGGCCACTAACCGACTAAGAAAAAGAAACCATCTAAGTGGCCTATCCTGCCAGCTAAGCTTACAGTCCACCATTACAAGAGATACTTATTACTTACTTACAGCTCAGGTTTTGACCTCCTCCACTTGAAACGGCACATCTGTTCAGACAAAATAATCTATGTAGTTTTATTATTATTATTATTATTTTATGGCCAGCATTGGACCACTTAAGTCAATATAATGGTTAGATTCTTTTTAAATTCTGTCTCTTCTTCTTGTCCGCCCAATACTTCTTCATTCTTTCCGACCGTTGTTTTCTTTCTTCTTCCGAAACCACTCTTCCTTGTCTCTGATTGTTTGCTCCTATTGGCAGGATGATATTTTTGTCTTTGAGTACTGCAAGCGCCTCTGACTTATTTTCCAAATCTTCTAATGATATTTCCAACCTTCTCATGTCCTCCTTAATCTCTGTAATCCACCTAAAGTCACTCATGCTATTCCACAACTTGTCAATTATTTTCTTGCTTTTTCTATTTTCCGGAGTCCTTAATAGATGTCCAATGAATGAAATTCTTTTCTTTTCTGAAAAAAAGATCATCTATGTAGTTTATATATGAACAAAAAAAGTATATGTAATATAATACACACACAAAAAAGAGGGGGGGGGGGGTTTCCCCGATCGCTGAAAAAAAGATACCGGTTGGCCTATAACCTGAGAAAATTTCCTGTGAGCACCCTTGATTGCAAAGGCAAAAGAGGATACTGCAATTGAGGTTGATAGTAGTGTCCACTCATTCTACCTACAGAAGATTTGTTGCTTGAAACTTCATGGACGCAAAAAAAGTTGAACTTAGTAGATACGATTAAACATTAAACTCATAAAGGCTGAGGTGATCATCAGGAGGATAGGGTAGGAGGATGGGTAAGGATACTCAACAAACTTATTGATATTTCTCAAGCCTTCATTAATAACGTCTGCACTGCAATTCCTAATCTAATTGTATACACCTATTTTAATATGGTTTTAGGGTTTTGATTTGTATAAAATCTTATGTTTGACATATTCCAGGTCCCAACACAAACAGAAGACCCAGCCTGGAACGCCAGACAACTCTGTATGATGATCCTTACAATTCATACGAGGAAAAGTACTATGATGCAGATGCATATCCTCAGACTGACAGGTATTTTAGATAGTTTAACAACATACTGCGAGGACTAGTTCAGAATTAAAATATGAGGAAACGGTTCTTGTAAAAAAAAAAGAACATAAAGAATTAAACTTTTCCAAAATTTCATCATATTCATAAACCAGATTCACAATTTTGTATTTTTTATAAACATATTTTGCTTTGAATTGTTCCAACCGATCTTGATGAAACTTGGTATGTATGTTAAATTGAAGAGATCCATATAAAAAAAAATTAATTTTGACTAATTTAAAAGCTTTAAATGATGGCCGTTTTAATTTTTAACATTTCAATTGGGAAAAAAACTATTTAAATAAAAAAGGATAAGAACGCTTTTAATTGGCATTTTAAATCTCCTATCAAATGACACCAGGCCCGTTTTTGACCCTGTCAGCGCCCTAGGCACATCTAATAGTTAGCGCCCCTTTGCAATATATATATATATAACAGGGTGTCCACCGACCGGGAAATCCGGGAATCATGCGGGGGATTTTTGAACCGTGAATGTTGTATTTATACCTGGAGTTTTCAATTTACCGTGATCGCGCATGACAAAAGTGACGTTTCCGTGATCGCGGGAGACGATAATATGTCTACACACGGCCGCAAAGGATGATCAGAATTTTCCGCGATTGCAGAAGACGATGATGGTATCTACAGAGCCGCAACGGATAATTAGAGTATTGCCGCGATCACAGAAGACGATGATAATGTCCACACGACTGGAGGACATTATTAACATTTTCCCGCAATCGCAGGAGACGATTACGGTGTCTTCACAACTGCGGGAAACGATTACGATGTCTACAGAACCGCGGAATACAATAATGATTTCTACGCGGCCACTAGGGATGATCACAATAATGCCGCGATCGCTCAAGACGATGATAATGTCCACATGACCGCGGGAAAAGATCAGAATTTTGCCTCATTCGCCGAAGACGGATATCTCCACATGTCCACGGGAGATGATTACCATTTTGCCAATCGCGGGAGGCAATCACTATGTCCAAACGACCAACAGGGACGATATAATGATGTCTTCACGGCCGCGAGGGGTGATCAGAATTTTATCGCAATCGCGCAAGACGATGATTTTGGCCACACGATCGCGGGAAAAGGTCAAAATGCTGCCTAATTTGCGTAAGAGGATGATGACCTCCACAAGACTGAGGGAGATGATTACCGTTTTTCTACAATCGCGGGAGGTGATTACTATGTCCACACAACCGTGGGGCACGATATGATGTCTTCACGACCGCGAGGGGTGGTCAGAATTTGACCGCGATCGCGCAAGACGAGGATAATGTCCTCACGACCGTGGGAAAATATCCGAATTACGCCTCATATGCGGTAGACGATGATAATCTCCTCACGACCGCTGGATATGTTCATATATTGCCTCGATCATGGAAGACGATAATTTTATGTCCAAACGACCTGACTGCAGAAAATAGTAAGAATCTTGCCGCAAACGCGGGAGACGATTACGATGCCTACACGGCCGCGAGGGGATATCAGAAGTTTACCGCAATAGCATGCAAATACTACCACGATTTTTTTTTTATTTCCAAATTTTTGCCGCCCCCAAAAGAAGCCAATCGCCTCGCGCCCTAGGCACGTGCCTACCGTGCCTATTCGGTAAATCGGCCCTGAATGACACAAAGTTCAAACAAATCAAATAAAAAATTGCTGAAATGCTGTAAAATGACACTTTTAGTTGTAAAATGAGGTAGAATAAGGCTAAGCTAATAAGGTTCCACTTCATTTTGGTTACAAACAGAACCTGTTCCTATAGGAACTTGTGTCTAACATCTCAGAGTAACCACCAAACTTCAATTTCGAGTCTTGGTTATTATTGGTTTCATGAAGATCGGTTGGGGTTTACTGTCTACTCACGGGACACCCTGTATTGAGTTTTTTAAGCTTATAGGCCTATTCTATTTAAAGTGTGCCAAAACAGTGATTATTGTCAATGGAGTTAATGTATTTGATTTCTTTCAGCACAAGTTACAACCAGGGGCAAAATTACAACCAAGACTACTACAATTCTACAAACTACGGCTACCAGGATGATAGCAGGTTTGTCTGTAGATCTTACTTACTTTCTTACTACCGAGGCATTAGAAACGTCATGATGCTATATACATCATCATCTTACATAATGTTCTAGTTACCGTTATTTGCGATTGCCATATTTTGGCATACATGCATGTAATGTCCATAATAATAGCAACTATCTAACTACATGGTTATCCAACTACGAGTGTGTTAATTAAATTTCTGGACTGGCTGGTCTTAGGAAAACAAATGTATAGAAGCGGTTTAAGCGGTTAAAAAATCTTATATTTTCCAATATTTTCCTTCTGATTCGATACAATGCTGCCAGCGAGTATTCACTAACAGGAAGGCTTCATGGAGTTCATCTATTGGAATGATGTTCAGAATCTTTTTCGAAGCCCTTTGAACTGCTGCGACAGTGCCAAACCGCTTCCCTTTCAAGTCCATATTCAATGGGAGAATGAAAAGAAGTCACTGGGGTGAGGTCCAGGTTCTAGGATGGCCGTGGAAGTGTTGCCAAGTTGTTTCGGGCCAAAATCTGAACTGCTACTAGACGCTGCATGAGCCTCATCATAAAATCCTCAGAAACCAAATGAAACATTGTAGCTCAATGTTATTCTTTCCGTAATGAGCCTAATGCTCAAGCTTGCGTCACTGTTCAACACTTACATAATTTGGCCAGATTTTCATGGTTGTGAGTCGTTGGAGGCCTTCCAGTATGAACAAAGTCTTTGAGGCCATCTTTAAGCCGCTTGTGCTACATGAGAACTATGGCACGTTAATATTACGTCTTCCTTGTGGGCCTGCTGAAGCATCTAAAGCGTTTCCACACCGTTCTTGTCATAGAGTTTTATAGAAAACCGCTGTTTCTTCACACGCTGAATTTAGACTCTCACAATGTTTTGACATGATCACAAAACACTCTCTAAGTTTATGCGTGATACTTTAACTTAAGCGTCTCGACGGTTACCTACCGCCCTTCACCCAGCCAGGGCCACGTGACCAGTCAGGAAGCACAGGAAATAATCAATCTTGAAACTTATCAACTCAACCTTTATGTTCTATTAGGTAAATACACCTGCTGCAGAAAACCTGCAGGCTAAGCGAATTACAATTTGTCTGATTGGATTTATGCTAGGGTATATATTTCTATAAGCTAGACGTATTTATCCCCCATGTAAATTACATTATATTTCAGGTTAGGTTTGCTGCTACGGGGAGGGTAAAAAGTATTTTTTGGATGGTGGAACGTTGGAACGTTGGAACGTTAATGGTGTAGGATGAAATAAATAAATTTGCCAAATTCCATCAACATGTATATCCATAAAAAAATAAACTACAACAGTATTCTCCATAAGAATAAATAATAAAAAAATATTTTTTTTTAGAATTGTCTACGTTACCGGTACCTTTAATTGTAGATCAAGACTTCAATATACAAATTTTTTAGTTTTTAAGCTCTACACAATGGGTGTTATGAAAATGGATTCCATGTTTAGGGAACACATTTTATCAACCCAATTTTTGAAGTTTTAAAACTCCTCATTCCTGTGGCCCGATCTTGCCGGTTTGCGAACTCATTCAATTTTATCCCTCTCAAATTAAGCCAAATTTAAATAAAATCGGACCAAAATTACTCAAGTTAAGGTATCACGTTTACGGACACATGTTTGTAAAATATACATAACTTACATTGTATTGTGACGCAAAATTCTAGGGGGGGAATAAACTAATATTCACCTAAGTCAGGCTAGGCCTACCCCTAGAACCAGCCACACTCAAATTTCTTCCCCGGAGTGCTCAGAAGGAGCCGAGAAAAATCCAGGGGTCGATACGAAGTTGTCACGGCTTTGACTGATCAATTTATTTAAATTTAATCGAAGGCTCAGAGCTCTAGAAGCGCTCAGGAAATCCTGCAGACGCCCAGTTGGAGTTATGTCATCCCAGCCTTCGTAAAAGTGTTTTGGTGAATTTTGCCTAACTTTTGGAATGACTCTGTAGGGCCGACGAGTATTCAAACTTAAGCCAATGTGATTCAATTACTCGTAATGAACTTTAAAATAATTAGCTAAAGGCCTAGGTAAATAATATAAAATCGAATATAATGTAAGACCCAATCCCTACAGAGTCGTCGGGGCCTAATTAATATAATTGGACGGATAATTTAACGTGAGTGGTTTAAAATAAATTTAATACTGATTTTCGTAGGCTGATTATTCAACTCAGCCTGCTCCCAAGACTCGATTCTTTCACCCGCCAAAGACGGGGTTTAGAACTCAGACGACGAGTCTCGGGGTATTAAAACGTCGAATTAACTGGAATAACTTAAGTAATAATTTAATCGTGAAACGAACTGAATTAACGTAATTTAATAGCCAATTGGTTTAAAAGAGCCGAAAAATATCCACCGCTAGTCACTGGCAGGCAGGAACTGGCGGGTTTTGCACGAGTCGGCAAGAACGAAGTTAATAAAATTTAGAAAATTATAATCGAACGTAAACGGATAAAATAAATGGCAGACGAGTATGCGTATGTTAGAAAAAGAATATTTAAAAGAAAGTAGGAAAGTCTGAAAACGTAGCTAACCTGAAACGATATCGTATGGCGCAGTTAGTTTCGTTGTGCGAAGAGGCTTCTCGTTAACGAGTCGACGGTCGAACAGCGAATAATTCTTGTCCGGCTCAAATCATGATTTCCTCGGTCGAGGCTTAATCGCTCTGGTGGTGAGTTCGAGAACCAGCCAACAGCTGATCGGAAATTCACCTGTTGAGCCGGTCTAGTTGTCGTCTGTCGTTGGTCAACAAACACCATTTTGAGGTTAAGTGATGTTGTAATCGGCGTTAAATATTCGTAAAATCGGTCGTTTTAACTTTATTATGTGAAACGGAGTGCTATTATGAATAAATATGTAGTTGTGGGTGTGTTCGTGTACTTCACTGTTATCAAAAGTAGGCCTACGTTCTTTGGCCCATAGCCCAAGCTAGGGCCAACACATAGGCCTAGGATTAGGATGTTGTGGATAAAAATCGGGTAAGTAATGGTGTTTGTTGACTAGCAATACGTTTTTACCCCCCTTAAAATTTGGTACCTCACACCCCTTACCAACTTCACAAAAAAAAGAGAAAAAAAAAGATTTCTAACGTGAGGGGGATGGTCCAAAGGGTCTCGAAAAAGGGCAGCTGAAGAAACGGCGTCGTGAAGAAGAGGTCGTGTACGAGAGGGAAAAGTAAACGAAAAAATAAAATCTTCTTGAAAACAAAATAAAAAGGACTTCTTGAACGAAAATAAAAACCAACTGGTATAAAAACACCTCTCGTAAAATCGGAAAAAAAAGGATTAACGGTAAAACAAAAAAAAAAAAAACTTCTGAATCATCGAACGTAGGGTAATGATTCTTCGGCCCTCAACGTTGGTGGTAGGGCTTCAGGTCCTTCACGTGAACCACGTGTGACATCCCCGTGCGCACGTCTCTCACCGTGTAGAGGTTGGCCCCACGCCGCTCCTCAACCTCGCAGGGTCCGTCGAACTTGGGCGCGAGCTTCCCGACTACGGCGTCGGCCGCGGAAGACAGCGTGTGAATCCGCCGCAGCACGCGCTCGCCGTTGCGGTACCTCACCTCCCGCCGGCGGAGGTTGTAGTACCTTGCCTGCTGTTCGTAGGCGGTCTTGAGGTTGGCGTGGACCTTCTCGTAGATGCGTCCGAATTCTTGCGTTCGTCTATCGTGAACTTCGGCGAGCGTCGGCTGTCCGTCAACGTCGGGTGTCGCCTCCAACGTTTTCCCTCGGACAGCTTTCGGGACTCTGAGTTCGCGGCCTAACGTTAGCATCGCCGGCGTGTAACCCGTCGAATCGTGGACGGCGGTGTTTATGGCGAACTGGAGCTCGGCGATATGGGCGTCCCATGACCTATGATTCTCCTTCACGAACTGAGAGATCATGGTCTTCACAACGCGGTTGACTCGTTCTACCGGGTTCGATTGCGGACTGTAGGGAGCTGTGTTTGTGAAAGTTATGTCCCAATCCATCGCCAGGTCTCTAAAGAGGTTCGAAACGAACTGAGTCCCGTTGTCGGTGATTATGGACTCAGGTGCTCCGTATCGAAGGAGCATCTCCTTAGTTTTACTGACAACGTTCTTGGCCGTTGCCGACCCGATAGGACATAGCTCAACCCACTTGCTGTACGTGTCCTGGATCACCAGCAGGAAGCGGTGGCCCTTGCCAGACCTGGGTAGCGGACCCACTAGGTCGGCGGACACCGTGTACCACGGACCTTTTGGAGCCCGGAAGTACATCTTCCCTGCCGGTTTCGTCTGCGCCACCTTGTACTTTTGGCAGGCATCACAGGATCTCACGTAGTTCTTCGTCTCCCGACGCCATCCAGGCCAAAAATATTCGGGCCCTACACGGCAAAGTGTTTTCTTGACACCAAGGTGTCCTGCCGTAGCGTCATCGTGGTTCTGTCGTAGTACCGCCTCCACTTGCCCTGGAGGAACGCACATTCTCCAGGACAGCTTACCACCACTCCCATGGCGTTGGGAGGTTCGGTAAAGGCGGTTCTCCACGATTTGATATCGCGGATAGCGTCGAGGGTTTGCGGTCACAGCTGCGTACAACTGGTCGTACCAATCAGTCGGAGGGACGTCGTTGGCTTCGTTGGGGCGTTCGTCGGGTCGCGTCGTGTCACTCGGTTGGTCTCCCGGTCTCGTCGATTCCCTGCGTCTGGTCGTGTGTCGCTCGCGAGGCGCGTCTGTCACCTCCGATGTGAGATGACTCATCGCGACCAGGCCCGATTGGCTCTCGTTGGTCACGGGTTGCCTCGACAAAGCGTCGGCGACGCGGTTCAGGGTGCCCTTCCGGTATTTGATCTCGAAGGTGTACTGCTGAAGTTCCATCACCCACCGCGCTAGACGTCCGCTAGGCTCGTGTAGCCTCATTAGCCATTTCAGCGCGACGTGGTCGGTTATGGCGACGAACTTGTAACCCTCGAGGTACGGCTTGAATTTTCGGGTCGCCCAAACCAAC